TTACTTGGAGAGCACACTGTGCTTGGCCAGGGGGGCATTCCCAAGCAAGGAAGCTTTTGAGGTCATCCCGAAGTGCTATCAAAATCTGCCCTTTCAACCCCATCCCATTTTAGCAAGAATGCCTTAAGAATTTCAAGTGGGAAAAAAAAAACAAATATGAAAATTCAAGGGACTTCCCTGGTGGTCCAGTGGTTAAGACTCCATGCTTCCACCGCACGGGGTGTGGGTTTGATCCCTGGTCAGGGAACCAAGATCCCACATGCCGCATGGCGCGGCCAAAAAAAAAAGAAAGAAAATTCAAACTTCAGGACCCAAGTCCATGCAAAGGACTTTCTAATTGACATCTTATGCAGGCAGCACTGGTGATCTCATTCATTTTAGTTGAGGTATAATGTTTCATTGTCTTCTCTAACTGGAATAAAACTTAAGTGGTGGAAACTATGATTAGATAAATGTTACTGTCTTAAAAAGCGATGCTTGCAAGTGATGTTTACTGTGTGCAGAAATCATGTGAGGCATTATGGTAAAAATAACTCCCTCATGTTTTCATATTAGAATTCAAATTATGAGAGTATACAACAGACGGCAAGAAGCATTGCTGAGCAAGCTCATGAGCTGGCCTATGACCCAAATTATATGTCACCTTTTGCACAGTTTGCATGTGACAATGGATTGAATGTGAGAGGTAAGCATTCCTTAGGAAGGTCATAGGGACTAACTGGGGACATAGAGGATGGGAGCATTCTGGGCTGTGGGTGAGGCAAACTACAGCACTGGGGTGAGACTGCTGAGGTGCCCTCTCCCAGCTGTGAGCCCGTGGGAGCAAGGTCAGCAGGCTGTAACACTGAAGGACAGAGCAAGTGCATGTCATCATGTGTTCCCCACAGAGGTGCCCTTCAGAACTGAATTTAATTGGCTGCAGAGGCAGGTGGAACCTGAAGCCCTTTATTGCTGCCACTGCACTGCTTGGACCTGAGCCCCAAAAGCCTCCGAGCTCTGCCTGGACATTCCTAACAGTTTAAACATTCTAGCCTTCATGAGTCTGACATTTCACTTCTCCCTTCCTCTGGCTTTGTGGGACTCATTGACAGTATTTGCCTGCCAAATTGCCATGGCAGGTTTTGAAGATGGAAGTAATGTTAGACTGTCCTTGCCTAAAGAGTCTTCCTATCTACTGAGCGATATGTAACTTTGGGAGCAGGCCAAGTAGCTCAGTCTTGGAGCTCAGATGACATGTTGGTACTAGCATATCAGAACTAGCAGAGTTGGTCAGTTTCTTGCTGGTAGAATCTTATGATATGTAAAGCATTTCTTAGCTGTCCAGGAAATATTCAAATAGAAAAAAGCACATGCCATAGCTGATTGCCAGATTAGAATACAAGACTATTACTAGTTTCAAAACATTGGATATGTTTGTTCAAATTAGGATTGTGGGTATAACATGTAACTTTCTTGTCAGGCAGAATTAATCTTAGCCACATTTTGTCTTTATTATGATTGCTATAAACAGAGGATGTGGTGGTGGCCATTTTAACAGAGCTGTTGTAAAGGAGCAGGGAAGGTTTTTTTTTAAAAGCTTCAATTAAATTACATGTAATTTCTTGGTGCGTTTTAACTATTTATCAAATGGTTTTTTTCCTTTTTTCTGCCAGAGTATATTGACAAACCAAACCTGCCTGAAATACCAGTATTTGTTTCCTAGTACTTATTTATTTAGGCTTACATTTTTTATTGACTTTTCCTTTTAAAATATATAAATACGTTTTCATTTTCATTTTAGGTGGAAAGCCAGATGACATCACTGTCCTTCTCTCAATAGTGGCTGAGTATACAGACTGACTCACCTAGGTGTCAACTCCTGCCTCTCCTTTCATCATCCCAAATTCTCCCCTACCGTGTGTGCTGATCCTGCTGGCAGGACCATGTTTCTTTGCTACTGATCTCAGTGGCCAGTGATGTAAGCCTTTTGCCTGTCTTTTTGAGACCCCATTGAGATCTTTGTTGAGAACCACTACTGTCATTCACTAGCTCATATCTGCCAGCAACATTTGAAGAGAATCAAGATTTGAAGATTGGCCTTCACTTCACATTGTCCTTTCCATGATGGGATGGAGGTTTTCAAAGCCAAAATGTCTATTACTTTTCAAAAACAGTTGAAGTATTGAAAATGAGTAATATTGGTAAAGTGAATTCAAAATTAAAATGTGTTAAAGGGATTTTAAAAGTCTAACACAAATTGTATGTTATGGTACATCTACTAGAAACATACGTTATATATTATCAAAAGATATGTTACACGTGTACTATACAGTCTGTGTTATGATTGGGTGTGGCTTTATGTTTTCATTATAAACTCCTATTTTTCAGGGGCTTATAATCTTGCTCTAAAACATTGTTCTGGATTACAAAATCTTGATCCGGGGAGCTTTTTTTTGGTTACAAGTTGGAAGAAAAATTCAGTTTAGTTCTATGTATGCAAATGTTTCATGGTTTTTAAAAGATGATTAATTGTGCTCCTGTGATGAAAGTTTCAGCAGTTTATTGGTTACTGCATATCACAGGCTGGTGGCCTGATCTGCAGGGGGGTTTGGGGAGACTCCTTACCAAAAATTTTTAATGGAAATATTATTCAAGGTTATAAATTCCTCAAAGCCTACAAATTTAATGTTACAGCTGAAATTCCTCCCAGCTGTCTGATATGATGCCCCTGTGTGGGAGCTTTAGGCCCATAGGCCTGATGGGTTGAGAATGGAACAGCTCTAACTTTGAATTTTGTTGGCCTTTGATGGTCACGCTATACCCCTTTTCTCACTCTCAGACCTGTTGTTAGTAGCCTTGCTTTCTATAGAGCATGTACCAAATTCAGGGAGTCCATGTGGAAAGAACACTGTGGGCAGTGACACAAGAGTCCACGAGGAAAACTCCTAGTGATGATATGACATTTGCATTTGCCCTACACAGAAATTTAGGGGTTTCTGAATCAAGCTTAATGTTTACAGTTTCCGAATAGCCATCTTGCAGTGTATAGTTTCCTTATAAAATTACCCCACATTCAGTTTTTCCATTATCTGCAAATTCAAACTTATTTTTAAGGTTTGTGTACAAGTCGACTGCTGTAAAGATATATATTTTTGGGTCAGTTTTTTTCCTTCATTAACTTCGTGGTAGAAAAATATATATACTTAGAAATCCTTAAATTAAAGCCATGTTTTATATATGTCAGGTAACATTGGTGTATAGATGAGAATGCAATTAAACCTAATGAGAATCTACTTGAGAATATAGAAAGTCTCTTTCTCTAAAGGAGATACTTACTCCCTGGTTTATTGCATTAAAACTTATGTTTGAGGTTACCTCAACTTGTTTTAAAAGATTTTGTTTTGTGAATTTGTACTGTATATTTGAGTAACTGTCAAGCTTTTGTTTTATTTAAAAATGTTTAACATGTACCATGTACATGTCATTACTATATTTCAATGCATCATGCTTGTAACAGGCATTTCATTTATAATAAGAATGAGTTATTCATTTGTAAGCCGTTCAGTAATTTATCTACTATTCCTAAATTGGCATAATGTTAGATATCTATTTTGAATCACCTTTAATTACATGTCAGAATGCCTTAACTACCCTAACTTGACAAAACAGAATTCTTTGGTAGAGGAGATGGGGGGTGGGGTGGGGGGTGGAGAGAGACTCTGTTTAAATAATGAGAATCCATCGTGCTGTGATAAAACACAGAAGCGTGAGTGGCAAGTGGCGGGGTATTTATTTTGCACAAACTATTTGCAGTCTCTGTGTATTTAAAAAGTAAAGAAAGTTGCATCCAGAAGGGTTTTGTTGGAAGGAATACATTTACACTTGGGCTGACAACTTCAGTTCTTTTGTTGGGTTTTTAATTATTTCTGGTCAGAGGTATGGAGCCTTATGATCTGGATATATTTTGTATTAATTTTCCAATGCATACATTTAATTCCAGGTAAGAGCAGTGCTGGTCACGTCACTGGCTTTCTCTGCACTCATCTAAACCCATCAAACACAGTCTTCATAAAGGTAGATTGATGGTGGTGTTTTACACAACTCATTTAATCAACTTAGTCTTTTTTGAGAAATGAGCGTTAGAAATTGACAATGTGTTTGTTCCAGGGATGTTGAAAATAGTGGGACAAGAATTGAGTTTCACAGGGGAACTGACTTTGGACCTGGCCTGTAGATTTGGGACACAAAATATTTTCTCTTTTTTTCCCCTGCCCTTTTTGTGTTATGCACTTAATTTTATGACTGTGGGGGTCTGTTGGAGTGCTGCTTAACAAGTAACTTTCCTTCCACTGTCAGTGGTCAGAGGCTGTGTAGTACCCATACTGGAATTTTCCATGTCACAGGACCCAAGTCTTTGTGGGGTGTGCCTGAGATATACCACTTGGTGGGTCTAATTCTGAACTTGATGTGTTAATTGTATTTTAAATCAAGCAGTATAAACACACATATTGATACATTTGCCTCACGTAGTGGACTTTTATAACAAAAGAGAATTTGGATTTCTAATTTACAAATGGCAAATTATTTATCCCTCTCTGGATGCACCAAAGACCAGTAAAGTTTATAGCTTTTCCATCTATATTTATAAAGCAATACTGTATTATAAAAATCAATATTTTTATCACATGCTTGAAATTTTTATTTTGTTCTGTTTTAAAGTGTGCACTCTAAACATATCAGAACCTTATTTCTTCCTGTGAACTTAAGCTGCCTGCGCACAAAAAAGAATTCACCGAATGGATACACAGTAGAGTCCATAGGCTCCTAAAAACTGAAAGAAGAAATGAGGTGGGGAAAACAAGTTACTTGTCCTGAATTACTGTACTGGCTTGACATGGTTGATGGGTACTAAATCACAAAAGAATCCATTCCAGGTGTGCATGTCTGGGAATTGGGCTGTAACTAGATTAGAAACTAGATTTCGAGCTTTGCATGATGGGCGAGTGTCTTATCACATCGGTTGCATTCGTTCTGGATAGAATAGTAGCCTTCAGTACCGCCTTCAGTACCACCAACATACCACATCATGTAACAAGGCAGTAATTGTGGGAATTCACTGAGTCAGTTTTGAGCATTTTGGAGATTGTAAACAAGATAGGCTAGAACTGTAAATGTTTGTACTTCTGATTAAGTTCATGGTTCCTTGTCACCTTATACCAGCTATCTTTGGTAGAAGCTACAGCATCCAATTTTCCTGGAAACTATCACATTTTTGCATTTAACAAATTTTACAACATCAAAAAACCAAAATCTGCTTATAAAACAAAATGTGAAACAGAAAACATTTGGATTCTATTGTTTAAAAAAATTAAATTCTTTGCAAAATTGAAGTTCAACTAAAAATCGACAGTGTCCATGTCAAAATTTTAACTGTAAGCAGGTAGTTTGTGGCAAAGATGGCTAAATAATGAAGCAAGTCTGAATTTGTGTATACTAATGAGCTGCTTTTTTCTGTTGAGACTATCATTATTTGTCTTACCCAAGAGGCAGTGACCTGAATTGGATGTCTGAAGTATAACTTATGCAGGAATAGTTCTGTAAATACATTTAAATAAACTGTAAAGATATTTAATAAATATAGTATTTATACTAATCTGTGTACTCCTTTTAATTTGAGTAGTAACAAAATAAGACACTGGCCCTTGACATTGATTTTGTTGGTCCCTATCAGGTCCTCATTTCCAAGCCTCTTAGTCTAGCAGTGACTCCATACTTTGTAGCTATCATTTCTGCCTTTTACTAGTTTATTCACTAAGGCTCTTTTTCACCAGCTCATTTACTACATCAGTTTAGCTTCCTCAAAAATTCGTCAAACTGGATTAATAATTGAATGTAACATATAGATGGTTTCCCAGCTGAGAAGCCTTTTGCATCTTCTAAATGGTATGTGAAGTCAAACAAAAATCTGGTGTCATTTAAATTTAGCATTCTGTATCCAAATTCTAAAATCCAAACTATATACAATTTGACAGTGTAACTGTCTTTTACAGACCAGTGCTGCATCTAGGTGATTACTGATGATGATGATGCCTTCACAGCCGAAACTGCCCTGGCCCATTTCAATGAGCGAACCAGAAACTTCATCCTCAGCAAGGAGACCTACAGTTACTCTCGGGTATAAATGTTCTCCGTGTAGTCATCTGCATTTATTAGGAATATGTGAAATTCAGTGTTAGTCATCAGTGTAAGCAAAAGATACATAAATCTTTAGCCTACAATGTGAAATTATGTGGGCATTGCCAGTTTCCAAAAAAAGCTTGATGAAAGCCCAGTTTCATTCACTGAGGAACATTTTGGGATGAACTTGAGTTTTTATTAGGTTATTGTGGGTAGCTATGGCTCATTACCAAGCTACAAGAGCCAAACTCATTCTGGTTTTAGTTTGAACTCTGTTCACAGTTCTAAAGTTTACTAATCCACTCAGCCACCTTTGTCTTATTAATTCCTCACAAAATCTAAAGCACAATTGCTTGCCAATTAACATTTCCTTGTGATTTGATGGTTTCACAGGCTTAACAATTAAGGTGTTACAAAAGTCTAGTTTGTCAGGTTATAATTGACTCTAAACAGGTTTGGGAGAGGGAGAGGCACACATCATAAGATGTTATATAACAATATTTCTGTGCCAGATTTTTTATTCTGTGCAGGTAAGAAGCTAATTCTTAAAGAGGCAAAGAACAGAGACATTCATCTTCCATCTCATTCCCCTCCAAACCCAGGCTTTCTTGGCAGTGGAGGCTGCTGTTCTATATCAGATAATACAGAAATAATTTTTTGGCATCACTTCTTTTCTGCATCACACTGCAAAATTTTAAAGTCATATATTTTTACTTAAAATCTTAACAAAATATAGCAAGCAATAGACCAAAAATGTTATGGTATTACATGCATAACTTTTTACTATGTCTGAAAGCACCAAAACTCAAATGTTTGCAATCAAACACAGAAGATACCTGAACTCTACAAGCCATATTGATGCACTCAAAATGGCTGCTAAAGAAAGTTTAAATACCTTTATAAAACTGGTAAAGAAAATGCTAAAAACTCTAGTGTGAATGTGCGCTGAATTGAAGAATTCTTTTTTATTTTTTTAAATTTTATTTATTTGGCTGTGTTGGGTTTTCATTGCTCCACGCATGCTTTCTCTAGTTGCGGTGAGCAGGTTGTGGTGCACGGGCTTCTCATTGCGGTGGCTTCTCTTGTTGCGGAGCATGGCACGCAGGCTTCAGTAGTTGTGACTCATGGGCTCTAGAGTGCAGGCTCAGTAGTTGCGGCACACGGGCTTAGTTGCTCCACAGCATGTGGGATCTTCCCAGACCAGGGCTTGAACCCATGTCCCCTGCATTGACAGGCGGACTCTCAACCACTGCACCACCAGGGAAGTCCCTGAATTGAAGAATTCTAATGAGCTTTTTCCCTGCACAGAAAACTCTTCTCCCTCCCAAGAAGCATAATGGATTTAAAGCAAATTACATTTACTTGACAAGCAGCTATTTCTAGATATGGTTGTTGTATAAGAAGATGTTTAGAAAACTAGCAGCCCATTATCCATTTCAAGGAAGTCCAAGACAATATCTTCATAGGCTTAAGTGTGAAAATGTGTTTGAGGTGCAAGTGAGCCAGTAAATGGGTAGGGGGCCAGCTCAGCCATCATTGTTAGAATGTGGAAAAACTGCCATTATTCACGTCCTCTTCACTGTCACTTGCTGTTGCCAGACTGTGGAAAGGGTGGTTGAAGTGTTCTTGTTGGTCAGAAGAAACTGCTCCAAAGAACATGCGAGAAAACTGGAGGGGAAAAAAGTAACTGTACTGTTTATTCAAAGCAAGTTAGCGCTCATCAAATACCCCTTTTCAGAAGCTCAGCCAAGGTGGTCTCCCTAACTTTAATAGTGATGGTTCATGAAATACCCAAAACCTTCTTGAGTGGCCCAAAACATCCTAAAATAAAACCCTTCCCTGGACTCCAAATGCACACAGTGTGGAATCAGTGGTCTGCTTCTGACTACCCTGCCCGAGCCATTGAAACTAACACCAGGGACTTCCCTGGTGGTCCAGTGGCTAGGACTCCACGCTCCCAGTGTAGGAGGCCCAGGTTCAATCCCTGGTCGGGGAACTGGGTCCCACATGCAGCAAATGCAACTAAAGGTCTCGCATCCCGCAACTAAGACCCGGCACAGCCAAATTAGTTAATTAATTAATTTTAAAAAGAAAGAAAGAAAGGAACTAACACTAAGGCTGTGGGAGACAGAGATAAAGGGAGACACTGTAGGCCATCCTGCTCGACTCCATCCATCTTCTCCCCTTTCCCTCCTGCTGCGACAGAAGCAGCTACTCCTGACTAGAGCCAGTCCTTCTCTCCCTGTCTCTGACTCCCAGCCCCTCCCATGCCTCTCCTCTACTGGATAAGAATGTCAGCATTTTAAAATAATCAAATGTCTCTCATTAAAATATATAAATAGGCTCATTCCCTTCCTCCCTCCATCCTTACCTCTGCTGTAGAGTTGTCTACACTTGCTTTCTCCATTTTCTCATTCTCCTATTCTTCCGTCCTATCTAAAAAAAGCTCCTGACCCTCACACAGAAGCACTTCTCAAGATGGTCACCAAAAATTGCCAGATCCTTAAGCCAATGACCATTTTCAGTCTCCATCCCACTTGATAGTCACTCTGACACTTTCTTCTCAAACCTTCCTCATGCTGCATTCTCCTGGTTGCTCTTAGACTTTTCAGCTGGCTTGCCCTCTTCTACCCAGCCTTTGAATCAGGGTTTCTCAGCCGTAACACTACTGACATTTGAGGCCTGGTGCTTCTTTGTTGTGAGGGCTGTCCTGCTCATGGGAGAGTGTTGAGCAGCATCCCTTGCCTCTGCCCACTAGATGACAGCACCCTCCTTCCTGAATTGTGACATCCAGAATTGTCTCCAGACATTGCCCAACGTCCCCTGGCCCTGGTTAAGAACCACTGCTTTAAATGATGGCAGTACTCTCCCCTGCACCCTCTCCCTAGGAACTTTCTTTCACACTGCTGGCAGAAATTACTACATATGTATATGCCGGGGAGTCTCACAGAATCTGAACTTTGTATATCCTACTACCTATTTGATTTCTGCCACTTAACATGTCCAAAATAGAATGCATGATCTTAGTGAGCATTGAACCTGTTGCTCCAGACCTTGATACCTCCTTTTCCCTTAAGCCCCATAACCAATCCATCACAGAGTCCTGCTGCTTCTACCTCCTCAATTAGCTGTCTACTTTGGCCACTTCTCTCCATTGCTACTGAATCACCATCTCTCAGATGCCACAACTGAACTTCCATTCTTGCCTCACTGCATCCCATTCTGCACATAGTAGCTGCAACTAAAGTTATCTTTCCAAAATTCAACTCTGGCAGCCCTCCCTGTTAAAATCCTTCAAATACTTTAAATGCCACAGTACTTTATATGGCCGTTTACATGGCTGTTTACATCTGGCATGAATCGGCACTCAGCAATTACTCTAGTTTCATTCACCCTGTGCCATTGTTTCACCCTGGCTATCTGCCTGCTAACCACACTGGTCATCCTCCAGTTCCTTAAAACCAGCACACTCCCTCCATCACAGGGGCTTGTGCACATGCCACACATCCACTTAACTCCCCCCTACTACCTTATCCTTTCCAGTTCAGCTCAAACACCAATTTCAAAGAAGACGTTCTGACCTCCTAGATTAGGTCAGTTCATACCTTAAATCCTCTCAAAACACCTTAAACTTTTCCTTTATTGAACTTACCACAGGTTTTTAAAAATTATCAAATGTTTAGTCATGTGACTACTTGTTTAATGTCTGTCTCCCTCCTAGTCTATAATCAAGTTTAGGAATGTTTCTTGTTTATTTTGCATACCATTGTATACCCCACATCTACAACACAAGGCCTTCAACAAATACCTGTGGGAGTTGCATGGTAGGTAACAAGAATGAATAAGTGAATGATCCCTGTTCTTGGCTCATCCTCACACATCAGAAGGTGAAGATGCCCTCTGCATGGGGCAGTTCTGACAGCAGCTGTTGAACCCTTGCTCCAGATGAAACACCCCAAATTAGCTGTGATATAGCCTGTGGTAGGCAGAATGATGGCCTGCCCGCACCCCCAAAGATGTCCACGTCTTAATCCCAGGAGCCTGTGAATATGTTATATCACATGGCAAAAGGGAATTAAGGTAGCAAATGAAATAAAGTTGCTAATCAGTGACCTGGACTATCCAGGTGGGCCCAGTGGACTCACAAGGATGCTTAAATGTGAAAAGCAGGGCTCCCCTGGTTGGCACAGTGGTTGAGAGTCTGCCTGCCGATACAGGGGACACGGGTTCGTGCCCCGGTCCGGGAAGAACCCACATGCCGCAGAGCGGCTGGGCCTGTGAGCCATGGCCGTTGAGCCTGCGCGTCCGGAGCCTGTGCTCCGCAATGGGAGAGGCCACAACAGTGAGAGGCCCACATACCGAAAAAAAAAAAAATGTGAAAAGCAGAGAAGAGTCAGCATCAGAGTGAAGCAATGTGAAAAGGACTTGACTGGCCGTTGCTGGTTTTAAAGCTGGAAGGAAACCACAGTCAAAGAA